GCCGAAACCAAGTGACCGGCCCGCCAGGAGGGCGCCCGCAGACTGCGGGCCTCGTGCAGCCCTGTCCGGCCCCGAGCAAGCCGAGCGGACGAGGTCCACGAGAACCTGCTCGGAGAGAGCCACCTGTTAGGAGGGGCGGGCCCTGCCGCGCACCTGTTCCCTGCCTGCGCACACCCCTCTCCTGGGCCGGCGATGGACCCGCCTAGGTGCGCCCTGCGGGGAGGGGCGAGCCTCAGCGGGTCCCGCCCGGGAGACGCGCGCCGGCAGCGCCCGGGTTTCCAGCCAGTGGGGTTCGGCCCGCCCCGGTGCGGGGAGGCGCTGCGGGCTTCATACACCTCCCAGTTCGATGACCTCAAGAATCAAATGAAGTCCCCAGAAGGGAAGCTCGGACCCTCTAGGGACGCCCGATGGGACTCAACCCTTGAAAAAGTTAGAATTCCACTTGGGAAGTTTTTCCCGCCTCCCCCCCACCCTCCACCGGTGGTTCAGCCCCCGGGCATCCCTCGCCCTAGGTCAGACCTCCGGAAACTCGGGCTCTTAAAGGGGCCGAGCAGAGCGCGAGGCCGGGGACCCGTTTCCGCCCAGGAATTCCTTGGGACTGGCCACCTGCGCCCGGGCGGGGTGCTGCTCTGCCAGCCACCGGGGCAGCGCTAGGCGCGACTCTGCTGCCTCCCCGTGGCGTCAAGTGGGGAGCGCATCCTGGGAAACACGACTCAGGCGCTTCCCCCACAACCACGGGAGGTTGCAGACGGCTGGTGGGTTCCGGACCCAGGCAAGTTCCCGACTGAGTCCTGTGAAACTTAAGTCGATCTCCTGCCTCCGCTCAAAGCCTTCCGGTGGCTCTTTCTCAGAGGACTTGGAGTGACCTGAGTTTTTCTGATAACAAAGGTTAATAATCATTTTATACATTTTCTTTCATATCATGTAAGCAATAAAAACTGAAATCACAGACCAAAATTAGAATAAAATTAGTTTTTATAACTGCACATGTATTTACTTTCCGAGAGATCTTTACTTCTTCATATGGCTTCAGGTTACTGCTTATTATCTTTTGGATGATAAACAGTAACATCCTGTTAGCATTTTTAGATAGGATAAGTCTAGTAGTACTAGATTCCTTCAGCTTTTGTGGATGTGAGGATGTCTTAATTTCTCCCTGATTGTTAGAGGATAAGTTTTTTTTTTATTTTAGAATTCCTTTCTTCTTCTCCTTCTCCTTCTCCTCCTTCACCAGGGATTGAACCCAGGAGTGCTTAACCACTGAGCCACATCACCAGCCCTTTCAATTTTTAATTTTTTATTTTGAGACAGGGTCTCCTTAAGTTGTTCAAGTTGTTCAGAACCCTGCTGAGTTGCTAAGACTGGCCATAACAGTCTTTATCATGTCTGAACACAGACAAAGCAGGAACATTGTCCAAACCACAAGATATCAAAAATCCCCCATCCCAGATGATGTGTGACGACTGCTTCTTCACCCGTTTTAAGTTAAGCTGTGCTCCATTTTTCTTATCTCCTGAAGAAGATAGAATTAGTCATACTTCCTGGCAGCTCCCCATCCCAGCAACTCCCCACATCTTCAGACTTTTCTCAAAAGTCACATAACAGAGTTCACATTCCACGGTCTCCTCTAGCTCATCTTTCTGAGACACTGTATCATTTCCCATGGTCTCTTCCCTCCCTGCAGTGGGTCAAATAAACCCAACTTTGTTGTCAGGTGTGCTTCTGCGAGTCTTAGGATACTGACCTATGTCAAACCTGTGCCCACCTGAAGGACTTTGCATGTGCTGTGTGATTAATCCAGACTTCCTTCCCCTGGAACATTCATGGCTCATTTTATGGAGAACTGCTCAAATGTCACTTCTTTAGAGAGACCTTCTCTCCCTACCCCCTTTACAATAGTCTCTCTACTAGTTTTTGAGGGATGCTATAATAAACACCATAGGCCAGGTGACTTAAACAACAGAAATTTATGTCTTCACAGTGCTGGAAACTAAAAGAACAAGATCAAGATGTTGGAAGGTTTGGTCTCATTCTGAGGATTCTCTCTGGCTTTTCACTCCGTCTTCACATAGTCTCCCTCTATCTGTGTTCTCTGAGTCCTAATTTTTTTTCCTCTTATAAGGATGCCAATCGCATTGGACTAGAGCCCACCCTAGCAATCTCATTTTAGTTCAATTGCATTTTTAAATTCCCTCTGAAGGATATGACCACCCCCAGGACAGGGAAATAACAACTCCCCCAAACTGTCTGACCCCGAGGAAGAGGGACCAGGAAGGCAACCATGAATCCTCTCCCACTAAGTCCTTTCCCAGTAACAATGGACCCCAAGGGAAAGAAAGCAAACTTTGATCCCTCCCCTGTTTGTCCTCCCATCTCCACCACCAGCAAACATTCACCCCTTCCCAACCACAGTGGGACCTGCAGGGAGGGTGGCACTGAAACACTGGGCCCTGGACTTTCACCCTGTCCCGCTGCCAACGAGTCCTGGAAGGGGAAGAGCAAATAGCCAAGCTCTGGGTAACAGTGGGTCCAGAGGGAGAAGAGAAGCAGGGAACACCGAGTTCTGAGCTTTTCCCAGTGACGATAAGTTTGGGGCTTTTTACAACTTTTTCACTGACCTGCCCAAATCGACATTCTGCCTCAGTTTCCAATAATTCAACCATCCTCGTTGTAAACTATAAAATTCAGACTCCTTCTGTAACCGGTGGCTATTTTCCTACACAGAAAATGACACCCCCTCCCCCCGCCCCCAGCGTGCCTGATTGATTGACTCTGCTGCACAATAAAAGAAAGCTTGCTGATCCGCTTGAGGTCTGCTTCCATCCTGGTTCTTTGTGTTTTCATAATGGTGCTGAAACCGTGTTGGTTATTTTTGCTTGTACCCTATTTCCAAATATAGTCACATTCTGTGAGAGTGTGAGTTAGGGCATCGACATATGCATTTGGGGTGTGGGGGGGTGCATACATACCTTAACAGGCTCTATCTCTAATTTCTCTGTCCCCACTTTTTGTTTTCCTGCATTTACTATCATCTGATGTTTTGTTAGTCATTCTTTATTTGTCATCTAATCTTCTCTCAGTGTAAAGACAGCATCACTCAACAAATATCCCACGTGCATTCCTACATTTCTCAGCCCCTCCGTGGTCAGGTGGGACTAGGTGGTTAATTCTAGTTAGTGGCCTGTTGACAAAACGAAGGTGGACGCCTCCCAGGCCAAAGCAGTTAATTGCCAGTATGTGACTCAGTTTGCTCCCTTCTTCTGCCATAGCAACTAGTGGTGTTCCCAGTGGTATCTTTAGGGACTTTGTGGAATAGAGTGCTCCACTCACCAACACTGGGACATGGAGTGTGAAAAAAAGAATTGTGTTAAGCCACGAAGATTCCAGAATTCTTTTGTTACATAGGATAATCTAACTTAACCCGACGAATACATCCCCACTAAACTGTAAGCATCAGGAGTTCAGGGACTTAAGCTGGATCCTTGGTACCTGGTGCAAGGTGGGTCGTCAGTAATTATTTGGGTTGTAAGTGAATGTGTGTGGCATAGAGAGGTGAAGCTTGGAGCTGGAACCATTGTCCACAGTGGACATGGAGCATCACTGAGAAGCCAACCTTTGCTATTTGAAAGTCACTCAGATTTGGGGGAAGTTTATTATAGTAGCAAATAGCCTCTCTTGATTGATACCAAAATGAGTGCCGGGAGTAGGGGGGCTACTGTACTCAGAACTAAAAATAGATGGCATTGACTTAGACATTTTGGGTTCAAGGGAAATTATTAGGACCCAGAGACTGTTGCCTGAGATACTTGGTAATACAGGTAATGTATTTAATGAACTTGCAGCTTTAGGGGAAGCAGTTGGAATACAGGATATTAGGAGTGGATATTGGCCGAAGGTGGCTGAAAATTGAGAAATCCTTTGAAAGTCCAATTAGAACTCAGCTTTTGGCAAGGATAAAAGATTATGGTTGAATCATCACTAACTATTGTTAAAATCTGGGAATATCCAGGTGTGGTGGCACAAGCCTGTAATCCCTGTGGCTTGGGAGGCTGAAGCAGGAGGATCTGAAGTTCAAAGCCGGTCCTAGCAACAGAGAGGCGCTAAGCAACTCAGTGAGACCCTGTCTCTAAATAAGATACAAAACAGGGCTGGGGGGCTGGGGTTGTGGCTCAGTGGTACACTTGCCTCACATGTGTGAGGCGCTGGGTTTGATCCTCAGCACCACATAGGCATAAAATAAAAGTCTATGAACAACTTAAAATAAATAAATAAGGGCTGCAGATGTGGCTCAGTGGTCGAGTGCCCCTGAGTTCCAAATCTGGGAATAAATTAAGATACTATCAGGAAATCCTTCCAGGTGGACAAATACCTCATTGAAATAGAGATGAAGGACATGGCTCTGATGAAGTCTGAAACGTGTTAAGATACCTAGAAATAAGAGGGAGGGGGAGAGGGAGAAGAAGGAAAGAGAGAGGGGGGGGAGTTGCTTAGAGGTTTCAAACTTTGGGGAACAGAAAGTAGACTGAGAAACGGATGATGTCTTAAGGAGGCACATCTTCCAACGCTACTTCAGACATATCCAAGGAGGATGATGGGGAGGGAGGTCTGTCCCTGGAGGATAGAGGTATGAACCTCAGAGAACATGGTTCAGAAGTGTCTGACTCTATCAGGGAGCTGATTTGAGGCTAATAAGAAATCCTCCCCATCTATGATCTGAATGTCTTCTCCCTGGGTTTAGGAATGGTACAGAACAGTGATTTCTGTGTGCCCCCCTCCTTCTCCATCTTGGTGGACGTGAAGCCTTTTCTCCCATTTTATCATTGTATATTGAATCATTTGCCTCTTTAGTCCACTCGTTTCTGACTTAGGCTCACTCATTTCGTTTCCTCGACAGCTCCTGGGGACATCTGAGTTTTTGACGCTACATCCTTTCGTCAGCCCCTGGATGACATGAGCGGACATGACATGGCACTCCGGGAGCACCTTGAGCCAAGGTTCTTTCCGCTGCCCAAGCATTATTCCTGAGTTCTGTGGGTGACCTCACAATGCCCAGTGTGGCACCCAGACTCTGCCTGTAGTTGGTCCACCATGTGGGCCTCCCTATGTCTCGTTAGCGTTTCTTTCCCGGTTCTGTGGGCCCAGACGTTAATCAGCTGCTCCTACAAGAGTCTGTGCCAGCAGGCACTGCTCTCGGGCAATGATATTGTCCTGCATTGTGACCATAAGGAGGCACTCTGGTATTTTTCTTCCATTCTTGGGGAGAATATCTTCTTGCTTAACTCATGGCCTAATATAAAGACACTGCCTGGGGGCAGCCTGCAATTGACCAAGCCTCAGCCCTCGCAGGCAGGCCTCTTTCGCTGTGAGGACAGTACCAACGCCCTCCTAGTAGAATATGAGATTGATTTCCAGGATGCCACCACCCTGCATATCACACACAAAGACCTGGGCCAAAAGCCCCTGCAGAATGAAACTCTGAACCTAGGTGGCCAGGTACTTATTTTCACCCACTGGGAGCCCTGGCAGGACTGTAACCGCTGTGGGGAGCCAGGCGAACGCAAGCGCCTGGGGTACTGCTATGTTGAGGAGCCCCCGGAAAAACCCATGCCCTGCTGGCTCTACCTGAGGGACGAGGAGGTGCAATACAGCCGCTTGCGGCCCGAGATGCAGGTGGAAAGATGCCTTGTTCCCTGTGACCCCGGCAAGGAAATCAAACAGCCATTCTTCATCTATGACATTTACCAGCTGGGCAAGTTGACCAACCCCATGTGGCTCACCTGCCCTTTGGCTTCCATCTACAGGTGACAGGACCAGGATGGCAGCCCTGCCTTTGGCCCTCACCCAAGCTTTGTTTCCTGTGCCCACGGGTTTGCCCTCCTGTAGAAAACCAGGCTTTTTTCTTCCAGCCCATAAGCTTTCAGGATCAGTCTGGGCAGGAACGGGTCTGCCCAGTGGCTGACTCAGATGTTCACTGGGCAAGAATTCCCAAATGCTGCCTCTGAGCCGGGCCCTGGGCGAGTGATCTTGGCACAGTGTGGCAGCTTAAAAATACCTGGTCTTTGCCCACACGGGCACCTGCCATTCAAATATAAAACCTAGAGACCAACACACTCAGGCCCTTGATCTTGCCCACATAGACACCTGAATGGCTTCTGTCTCCTGACTTGACCCCAATGAACATGGTTTGTCCATCGTTGTACCAAGGCCATCTGTTCAATTATCTTCATGATTGTGCTTTTTCAATAAGTCATGATATTAGCCAGTGAACGTTTTCCGATATTGTTCTGCAAGATTGTCTTGGTTACTCTTGGTCCTTGGTGTAAAAATTTTGGAATCAGTATGTATTTTTCATCCCTGGCCAATCCTATTTAAAAAAAAATATTGGGACTATTTTGAACCTAAATAAATTGTGGGGAAATCATTATTTTACAATATTAAATATTGTCTTCCCATCCTTGAATATGGTAAACAATCCCATTTAATATATCTCAAAAATCTGCAATTATTAATGAAGATGACTGACATATATTTTATTATGTTTATTCCTAGATATTTAGTTTTTCATACTATTCAATTCTGAAAATTTCATTTTCTAGTTCTATGTTACTTGTATTTACATTATAGTTGATATTTGTATATGACCTTGTATCTAAATTGTTTTGTTAAATTCACTTGCTTTTAGTAAAATATCACATGGAGAAGTCTATGGTGGATATACTTATCTTATTCTTAATATTTTTGTATGGAATACAGTTTTCTCTGGGTTTTCATAGAAACACTTTATTAAATTAAGAAAAAATTGCCTCTATTCCTAGTTTGCCCAGAGTTTTGAGCCATAGATGGTTGTTGAATCTTATCAAATGCATTTTCTGCATCTACTTGAGATAATAATGATGTTTTTCTTTATTATGTCAATGTGGTGAATTACATTGATTGCTCTTCAAGGAATTGCTGTTCACATGTAAACTCAAACTTTCCTTACAGGGATAAACCCAATTTGGTCATGATGTTCTTCTTTCTTTCTTTTTCTTTTTGCTTTTGTTTTTATCATTGGATAAAATTAACATTTGCTAATTTTTTTGGATATTGTGTCTATGTTCTATAAAAGAGATTTTCCTAAGGATTTCTTTTCTTGTGATGTCCTTTGGTTTTGGTATCAAAGTGATGTGGGCCTCATAGAAGTCCTAAGCATTCCATCTTTTTCTATTTTTGGAAATGTTTTATAATACTAATGTCATTTTTTTTTTCTGGTACTAGGAGTTGAACCCAGGGGTGCTCTCCCACTTGGGGTATAATCCCACTCTTTTTAGTTTTTATTTTGAAACAGGAGCTCACTAAATTGTGGAAGCTGACCCCAAACTTGCAATCTTCCTGCCTTAGCCTCTCGAGTAGCTGGAAATCCAGGTGTGCACCACCACCATGCTCAGGTGATATCATGTCTTAATGTCTCAGAAGTATTCAGAGGAACTCACTGGCAAGTCTTCCTGGGCTTAGAGGAGCTTCTGTGCACAGGCTTTTAAGTGCAGATTTGGTCTCTTTGGTTGTAAATATAGGTCTATTCATTTTTTTTCCTTATGCTAAGTTGTTGATTTTTTTTTCATGAATTTACCCATTTAGTCCAAATTTTCATAAGTTTTGGCTAAAAGTTATCATATTTTGTCATTATTTTTTAGATCCATAGGGTCTGTAGTACTGTCTCTCTTTTCATCACTGAGATATACCTTTTCCCTTTTTTCTCGATCAGTCTTGTTCTAGGGCTTTAACAACCTCATCCATCTTTTCAAAGAACCAAATGTGCTTTGTTTGTTTTCCTTTATGGTGCTTTCGTTTTCTATTTCTTTGGTTTCTGGTTCATTATTTCCTTTTCTGTGTTTGTTGGGTTAAACATTGTTCTTTACCTAAGGTGCTTCCTGAGATTACTAGTTTTCATCCTTTTCCATTAAACTTGTATTTAGGCCATAAATTTCACTTAGGCACAACTTCCCTGCATCCCAAAAGTTTTGACAGGTTATATTTTTATCAATAGTCAGTTAAAAATTACTTTCTATCTTCAGTTGTGATTTCTCTTGGCCCATTGGTTATTCAGACATTATACTGCATAATTTGTAGATATCTGCACAAGTTCTTGTTTTCTTTTTTGTTATTGAGGTCCAATTTAATTCCACAGACAAAAAATATGATCCAATTTTGAACATTTATCAAGACTTACTTTATGGCCTAGAATATGGTTTTCTTAGGCACATGTTTTGCATGCATATGAAAAGAATGTATGTTGTGCAGTTGCTGAGTGCAGTTTTCCATATGCATGAATTAGGTCATTTGTTTATCATGTGGCTCAAGTCTCCTACATCTCTACTGAATTTTTGTTAGCATGTTCTGTCAGTTACTGAGAAATGTATGTTAAAATTGCCAGCTGTGATTGCGGATTTGTCTAGTTCTTCACTTAAACTGTCATGGTTTTGCTTAATATATTTTTAGTTCTTACAAACTTAGGATTGTTAATATCTACTTATTGGATCAACCATTTTATAAAATGTCTCTTTGTCTATTAATACTCTAGGTTTTCTTGTCTGCTTTCTGTTATTGATTTATCTGGGGATTTTGGGGTTAGTTTTCACGTGATATTTCACCATGTTTTCACTTTCAACTCTTCCACATTCCTTTATTTAAAAATAAATCCAGAGTTGGGGTTGTGGCTCAGTGGTGGAGCGCTTGCCTAGCATGTGTGAGGCCCTGGGTTTGATCCTCAGCACCACATAAAAAATAAAGCTACAAAAAGAAATTAAGTCATTTTAAAAAAAAAATCACTCCCTTTATCTACTTCTTTGCTCTTCTGGTGATTTTCATTCTTGCGTTACCTTACTTCCATTTAGGATCATTTTTCTGTTGCCTGGAGAATCCTCTTGAGTATTACCTCGAATGTGCTCTGTTGTGGTGACTTTTCTCAGCTTTCACCTGAAAAATATTTACTCTGCCTCCATCTTTGAAGAATATCATTACTGTGGCATAGAATTCTAGGTTGGCACTTATCTTCTTTTAGTGCCTCAATGACATCATTCCATCGTTTTTAGCTTCGGTTATTCTATTTAAAACTCAATCAAAATCTTATATTTGTTGCTTTGAAAATAATCATCTTTTTCTCCTCTGGTATTTAAAAGATTTTTTCCCTTTGTTTTTCAGCAGTGCTTCCACTACCGTGTACCTAGGTATGTTTCATTTAAGTTCATCCTGTGTGACATTAAAGATCTTGGATTTGTGGTTTAATGTCTTTCATCAATTTTTGGAATGCTTTCAGTTCATATCTCTTCAACTATTGCTTGTAGTCTTGGCCCTGCAGGGGGCAGGGGTGTGACTGGAAATGATAGGAGACAAATAGAGACCTTAGCAAAGACCTAGATGAACCCCTGAACTCACCACCTCTCCCTTGTCCACTCTGGTTCCCGTGCCCTTTGGATACACTCACCAGGAAGCCACGAGGCTCCTTGTCTTATTCCATCCAGTTGTTTGGGAAACCTCACATCCTCAGAAAGTGCCTGGCTATTCTGCCTAAAACAGCTCTCGCCCGCACACTATTCTTTCTATTCCTATTCCTTTCCCTGCCAGCTTTCTTTTGAGCAGTCATGGTTACAGTCAGTTCTCATTATTTGCAGATTGTGTATTTGCAAATTTGCCTCCTATTCACTGAATTTTATTTGTAACTTTGAAATCCATGCACATAGTGTGTTCATGGTCATCTGTCATCGTGTGCAGGGTGGCGAGAACTCTGAGTCACACAAAGCGATTAATATACCCAGCCCAAGGTCAAACAAGGTGACACTCGGCCTTCTCATTCCAGCTTGTGTGCTGTTCAGAAGCAACCTTTTGGTGATCTATTTAGTCCATGATTTTCACCATTTTGTGCTTTTCTGGTAATTTTGCTGTTCAAAGTGGCTCCCCAACAGAGTGCCAGAGTGTAGTCTAGTGTTCCTAAGTGCAAGAAGGCTGTGATACACGTGTCCCAGGCATGGTGGTGCACACCTGTAATCCCAGCAACTCTGAGGCTGAGACAGAAGGCTCACGTGGTTGGGGCCAGCCTGGGCAACTTAGCAAGACCTTGTCTCAAAAAAAAAAAAAAATGGATGGGGATCTAACGTAATGGTAGAGCAACTCTGGGTTCAGTTCTCAGTACCAAAAAAAGGGAAAAAGAAAAAAACACACACATTTGCTCAGGAGTCTTAGTGCTACCAGAGTTCAATGTCAACAAATCAACACTATTGTATTACCTATGTATTAAGTGATTGTGGCCTTTAAACAAAAATGCACACAAAACAAGGTTACACATATTGATTGGTTGACAAAAATGTCGTGACCAGGGGCTCAGAGGAACTTAACCCCATATTTCTCCTCGGGGCAATTATTCGATATTCACGTATTTTTAGTGTTCCTGGCAACTACATTTCATAACTGCCATGAGTAATGGAATTAAGCATATGTGACATTGTGTTTATTGCCTATCTTTTACACTAGAATATAAGCTTAAGAAAGGGAGAGGCTTTGTCTAACCTGCTCACTGCTATGGTTAGAGTGAGTAGTGGCTGGCACACCATAGACATTTAGTGAACATCTGTAAGATGAGTGAATGGCAGAAAATCAAGCCCACACAATAATTTTTATTTTCAGGTCTGTAAAGGAGTTGAGGAAAAGATTTGAAAAGGGAGCAACTTATAAAAAATGTTTGTTTAATATGAATTGAATTATGCAGCTATCTGGGGAAAGAGCCAGGAGCTAGTATGTGCAAAGGTCCTGAGGCAGGAGCCCCTCGGCTTAAATAACATGTTTAGAAACTGAAGTGGGGGGCAGCATGTCTAGAGAGATAGGGTTGGTGGGAGAAGTGTTGGAATTCAGAACACTAATCAGGTAGGATCTGTTCACTGCTGTGTCCCAAGTGCTAAGAAGCATAATTGGAACTTAGCACCTATTCAGGAAAAATGTGTTGAGTGTTCGCGTGTGACACTCTTAAATTCTTGACCATCCCTGGCGATGTAAATTCACCTCCTGGGAGAGCCAAGGGGAGGTAGGTGGTAGGGAAAACCCTGAAGAGATCAATTAAGTTTCTTCCTGTCTCAGCAAAACAGGAGAACAGAAATTAAATGGGGTTGTCAACTGGACACAAATCAAAAGGGGATGGTGACCTCACAGCCCCCTGCGGTAGATTGCCATTCATCTCGCTGCTCAGGGCTGAGGTCTGAGTTTGTGAGTGACCTCACAATGTCCAGAGTGGGGCTCAGCCCGCTGCCACAGCCTCAGTCCACCATGCTGAGTACCCTGTGGCTGCTGCTCAGCTTTGCTGTCCCGGTGCGGGGGATCTACAAATTTGTCAGCTGTCCCCATGGCAAGCAATGCCAGAAGGCCCTGCTGTCCGGCAACGACGTACTCCTGCAATGCAGCTCTGCTGGGGCACACTGGTACTACTTCTTCCTGCAGACCAGGAGTGGCTGGACCACCGCCAACACCAGTGTTTCCAATATGGTCACCACACCCGTAGGTCACCTGCTCATTAGAGACCCACTGCCCTCCCAGACGGGCCTCTACAGCTGCTGGAACAAGAATGGCACCCAGGAGACACAGTACGAGATTGATTTCCAGGATGTGAGCTCCCTGCACATCACACACAAAAGCCTGGACCAAGATCCCCTGCACAACGAGTCCCTGGAACTGGGTCGTCAGGAGACGGTCTTCACGCACTGGGAGCCCTGGCAGGACTGTAACCGCTGCGACGTGCCGGGGGAGCGCAAGCGCTTGGGCTACTGCTACATCCGGGAGCCCCAGGAGGAGCCCGTCCCCTGTGGGATCTTCCTGGGACAGGCCAAGTTGAAGTCCAACCGCCTGCGCCCCGAGATGCAGGTGGAGGCCTGTTTCGCGCCCTGCGACCCTCAACGCTCCTACCGCCACGAGTACACGGTCTTTGACAGTTTCAGTTTCAGCAAGGAGTCGGAAGCTCTGTGGCTCACCTGCTCCTTGGGATCCATCTACAGGTGATAGGACCTGGTCACCAGCGCTGTCCTGGCCCCCGGCCGGGCTCCTCCAGCCCCGCAGTCTTTGTGGTTCCTCTGTGCAGGGAGGGAGGGCGGGGTTCTGTGCAGGCCGTCCAGCCAGCTCAGGGGTCCTCGGGCTTGAGCCCAGGGGACACAGCCCAGGTGGCCAGAGTGGGCTGGGAGGAGCCCTGGCAGAGCAATGGGCTGCCCAAGAACCTGGGCGTGGGGGTGGGTTGCTTCTGAGAGGCCCTGAGCCATCTAGAAGGGCCAGCAAGGCCCTAGAGGACAGGACAGTGGCCCCCAGTTGTCCTTCAGTGCCCGTTCCCCAGAGCTTACTCTCATGTCCTGGCCTTCCGGCCCCCGAGCCCCTGGGAAATCTGCGCGCCTCCTCCTCTTCCCATCCCCGCTTCCCACCCCTCCCCCATCATCGGGTGGCAGCATCGGTGGCCACCCCAGGACAATGTCCTTTCCCACTCCACCCTCCTGCCTCAGGAGGTGGGGACACCAAGGAGGTCATTTTTTAATGAGGATTGGCCGTGGGGTCCTCCTACCCTCTGCAGACACCCAGGGCGGGCAGCTCCTGATGGCCTGGGGCCGTGGTCAGGTGGAGCCTGATCTGCACCGAGGGCCTCGGTGGACACGAGCTCTGTGGGATCTGGCCTCAGCACCTGCACTGGGTCCTCTTGTGACTTCCGTTCCTCCCCCTCGCTCTGGGACCCTGTTGTCCCCCTCCCTCCTCCTCTAAGTATAAAAGCCGCGGCCTCTCTCCTGAGACCAGCCCAGTTCACCAAGGCAGGAACGGAGTGCGGACCCCTCTCCCTCTCTGGGGAGACCTACTCCGTGTCACACGAGGAGTTCCCAGGTCCCAGGCCCAGGGAATGAGATAAGAAGGGAGGGACGGCACAGAGAGACCACCACGGGCCCTTGTTTCTAAGGCACAGAGGGGACGGAGGGGACGGCCTTTCTGGTGAGATTTTGATCCTGGGCTCTGGATTCCGCCAACCTTGGGTTCGCAATTCCGATTCTGCCATTTTCCAGACTTTGGTGACTTTGGGCCCAGGGCTTCCCTCGGAGCCTCAGTTTCCTCATCCGTAGGCTGGGGTCACATTTGTGATGCACAAAGTACCCTGAACTGGGTGCTTACGACAACAGACGTTTATTCTCACACCTTCCCGGAGGCTGAGAGGCTGAACCCAGGTGTCTGTGGGGCCGGGCTCCTCCTCAGTCCTTCCCTGCCTCTTCCCGGGGGCTGGTGGCAACCAGAGATCCTGACACTTGTCCCCGTGTTGCTCCAGTCCTTGCATCTGGCCGTCGTCGCCGCTCGGCCTTCTTCCTGTAGGTCTGACCTCCCTGTCCAGCCTCCTCTTCCAGGAGGACTCCACTCTAACCCAGCATGACCTCGTTTTTACCTAATTACCTCGGCAATTGATGTCCTGGGGAAGGTATCAACCTGGTGGGGGAAGGAGTGGTCAGCACCTGAGGCCTGGCTGACCCCAGCCCCAGGGTGTCATTGTGATGTTTAAGAGGGCCAGTGACAGTCCAGGGCTCACCGCTGGGCCTTGGCCTCATGAGGAGACTGGGATATTGTCGCCTGGGCTACTCTGTCCTTCCACCACAGCGGCACCAGCCTTGCTGGGGGCCTGTTCCCTGATGTGCCAAGCACGGTCCTCGGGGCCTGGGACCTGGTACTGAGCAGACATAACCCACCACCCTCGCCCTCATGCAGCAACCACTGTATTTTTATTTCAGAACAAATAAAACACAATATTTTAGATGATGTTAAGAGTCAAAGGGAGAGGAGGAGGACATGGAAACTGGAAATGGGTCAGGGAAGGCCTCTCTGAGACAATGCCATTGCATCCAAGACCAAAAGGAGGCAAAGGAACCATGTGGATGGAGCGAGGAACAGCGTTCCAGGCAGAGGGGACAGCCAGGCCAGAGGTCCTGAGGCAGAGGGCACCCAGCATGTCTGAGGGACATCTGGGACACCGTCTGTTCTTTGGACACCCTGGGCATGTTGTGGGATGGGCAGATGACTCGGGGGAGGGGAGGAGGTGAAGTCAGGTAGGTGAGGGGACACAGGGGACCAGCTAGGGAGTGGGCTTGCTGGTGTCTCCAAATAACTCCATGAAAGGTGCAATGCTTGATTGTGTTTCCATAGTTAGAGGCGGGAAGGGACAGAGGCCGTGGCTCAGGTCACCCAGCCAGGAAGGGGTGGCACTCTGGGGCTCCCAAGACAGCCCCGCCCTCCCCTGTTCACCGCCCAGCCGCCTCCCTGTAGAGCATGGCACTGACCTTGTCCTCCCCGCAGGCCCATCATGTGGGAAGTCAACGGCATCCCCCTGACTTGGCGGGGCCAGCTGGTCGGCCAGGGCATGAACACCGTCCTGGACACCTCCACCGGCGGCAGGCAGCTGCAGATCTTCCAGCCGGCCACATACAAGTGCTACGTCCACCAGGAGTTCATGGCCCAGTTCAGCCCCGTGATGGGTCCCGAGGCCTTGGAGGAGCAGAACAAGAAGGAGGAGCAGCAGTGGCAGGTGGGCAAGGTCCTGGTGCCGCCCAAGGAGGCCGACTCGGTTCTCAAGGGGCTGAAGCTGATGCTGCTCATGGTCTTCGTCCTGGCCCTGGCCGGGCTACTCTTCAGGGTCTTCCGTCCTGCCTGGGACAAGAGGAAGAACTCCGTCCTGCTGGTGAAATAAAGCGAGCCTGCTTGCCCAAGGGGACCCGGCTTCCTGTTCCTTTATGGCCTCCGCTGTCCCACCGATAGCTCCTGCCCACCCCGTGCCCACCCCGTGCCCACCCCCGTCCCCCGCTGAGATGCCCTGTGGGCCACAATGGGCCCCGGGCAACAGCAGGCCCTGCCCTGCTGCAGTGTGAGGGATGGCACCCGGCTGGTCTCGGGGGAGTCTCAGGTGTGGTCAGTCGCGGCTTCCTGTCAATCCACTCTCCAAGGACAACATGGAGACAACAGGCCTGCCTGGCCCCTCCTGCTTGTTCATTGTCCCAGCCTTCAAGCCACCGTGCCTCAAGTCTGGGCCCAGGGTGGCTTGAACACCCTTCATGTTGCCGGGCTTTTGCAAAAGTGGAGGAAGCCCCCTCAGGACCACCAATGGGTCAAGGTGCCAGGCCTGGCTCTGCATGGGAGTCACCAGGCCTGGCTGTTTCCAGAAACGCTCACACTGTCGAGCAGGGTGCCAGGGGAGAGAGGAAACAGGACGCCTTTTAAAATTCATGGCTCTAAACCTCACTGTGGAGCAGTGACAGGACAGACCTGAGACTCTCCCAGGGCAGC